AAGCGGAAGTCGTGTGACGCTGGGAGCATGCGCGCTGGAGTTTCTCGAGTTATCGGCTAACCCCGCGAATGTCCGAGTGTTTGCTAGATGCCCTCTTTTTTTAGCAAAGAAAGCCAGCGAGATAGATAGATATAGAGATAGATAATTAAAGAAGCGAATAGTAGTGACGATAAGTAAAGTGTGTGAATCACTGTGATCTATACCGTGTATTATAAAAGTTGTTAAGCTTAAAGTGACGAGAAACGTATTGACTGTGGACATTCTGTGTACTAAAAGTTTGTATCGAGGAAAAATAAACTGATTTAATTAAGAAAGGACTTGTATCGCTGAAGTTCCTCGGAAATAATTTCTCCCGGAAATTAACAAACAAGCAGATACGTAGCAGTATATTATCCTTACTAAGAAACCAAATAGGACTAGAAAAAAAAAGATCTTTTGAAAATTATTATCAATCTTATTATGATGTAACATCATACAAACTGTTGATATAATGTTTAATATTCTTTTGTTCAAAATTAGACGATTCTTCAACTATAAATGTATATGTCATATAATGACTCTGTTCATGTCACAATTATTTTTTTCCTATCTTAAACTTTTCCTAACCCAACAGAATCACATAAATCAAACAAGTATTCAGAAGCCACAACACAATGGTATTGCAGTTAATAAACACTAAACCGCATTAAGACTGAATGTAGAGCAAAAACATCTTTTATGACATCCCCTTGAATAGACGAAGAAAGAAAATGGCAAACAAATGTTAGAATTGACAAACATAATAGACACATAAGACATTGTGCTATTGATCTATCTACAGTAATCCTTCTTTCCACAGAAAAATAACAAAACATATAATGGAATAATACATAAATAATGGGGTATAAGGTACAAATGAAAAAGAAATCTTTTAACATCCAACTGATAACACAAATAAATAACCAAGCTTAGAAATAGCAAAATCTGAATAACTTTCTTGAAATCATTCAGGTAAGTTAGTTGATTCAAGTTCTAACATAGGAAACCCTGCACATGTGAATAGCATGCCAGCTCTTCTATCAAGACTCAGTGTCAAATCCTTGTCGCTAACCCCCACTACAAAAATAGTATTGTTACGACAGTGGAGGTCACGTGACTCTAGTAACACGTCACGAACTTCTAGAAAAATCATGTCCCTTCGTGAAGCTTCGAGCGTTTACTAGATTTTCGGTATTCTTGTATATAAGACCGCCAAGAAGTGACGGCAACAATGTAATTGAATTGCAGACAGAGATAGAGACGACAATTGAGTCAAGCGCGTGAATCGTTCGTTCGTTGTGAATTATAGCGTTTGTTTACGTTATAGCGTGACTGTGGAAATTAAGTGTATTGCAAAGTTGTATTGAGAAAGAATAAACTAGTTTTATTTAAGAAAGGACTTGTATCGCTAAAGTTTCTTCGGAAAGAATTTTTACGGAAAATTAACCAACGAACAGAGGCGTAACAGTATTTCTTAGGATTTCCTTGATGATAGCTGTAGATCAGTAGTCAAAATGTAGGATATGAACAAGCATATAGTTTATACGTGAACTATATATTTTGCCCATATGAATTTTTTTCGGGTGCTCTGAATCATATTATTCACTGTTCAGCCAACACATCAATGATAGATTGTGGTAATTTATCGACAAACAGATAATCTTTGGCCTAATTCGTGAAGTAATTGATAGCGAACAGCACATATTGATTACCTGGTTCAGTCTCTGGGAGAGAATCAACTACATCCATATCTATTATTTGCATTGAAGAATCTTTAACTCTCTATTTATCCTGTTTTGGCCAGTTTTTACTCTGAGCAGCATACACTATGTAGTATTCGCACTATCATTCAACATCGTCATGTGAATGGAATCAGAAATATTGTATTAGCAAATTAGCACATTGGTGACCTTTAGTATTTGGATAATGCAAAGCCTGAAGTATCTTTCACCTAAAAACTCCAAGGATCTCTAGCTACTGCACAGGTTGAGAACCAGATCTCAATAGTTTATATACATCCACTTGTGCCACAGGTTATCTGTAAATACATTCTGTTCCTCATCCGTGATTATTGTGCTTCATCTTGCTGCAAAGCAAAGAGCGCTCGCGCTAAACCCATGTCCTTTAGTTGCTATTCCTGGAGCTCCTGAAGGGTCATTTATTGTATCTAGCCATCAGTGGAATCATCACGTACTGTATGTTTCAACATTACTGCTGTTTCAATCCTACATGGTGTCCAGGAAGCGGACATTCAGGAAACACACAAGCCTCCAGCATTTGACGAGATAATTCATCATCATTTTCATGTTATGGACCTGGACAATAATGTTCAACAAATATATACTCTTGAAATATTGTGGTACAACATGCAACTATCCATTTTAAAATTCTAAAATTCATAAACAACTATTTCAGTGATGTATGGTCCACACAAATAGCGAGTTTTCTGCTATAAAAGTAGAGTAGGTAACGTTTGCAAATACTACATCTGCAAGAAAGTCTTTCTTTGTTACTTAGATTTGTTGCGTCATCGAGATCACGTGATTCTCACGCCCTCTACTTTCTAGAACTATCCTGTACTTTGGCGAATGCTCTAGTATTTACTAGATATAGGGTAGTCTGGTATATAAAAGAGGGTGACAACGTGACGGAATAATATAATGTGTGTGTGTAGACAGTGAGTAATTGATCTGCAGTCAGAGAGTATTATTGAGCACGTTCGTTGATATAGCGTTTGTTATAGAGCGACTGTTGAAAATAAGTGTATCGTAAAGTTGTATTCGGAAAGAATAAACCAGTTTTATTAAGTAAGGACTTGTGTCGCTAAAGTTTCGTCGGAACGAAGTTACGGAAAATTGATTAACAAACTGAGACGTAACAAATTGGTGTCAGAGAGTGGGACAGAAAAAAAAATGGAAACGAGAAGCGGCAAATCAAACTACAGCCTAGCAGACTTGATGGCAGCAATACACGAACAGCAAAATAAACAAGAAGAACGAGAAGAGAAATTACAACAGTTGTTAGAGGAAAAAGAAAAGAAACAAGAAGAGAAATTACAGCATTTGCTGGAGGAAAAAGAAAAGAAACAAGAAGAACGAGAAAAGAAACAAGAAGAGAGATTACAGCATTTGCAAGAAAACCTGCAACAGTGGCAGCTCGAACAGCAAAATAAACAAGAAGAGAGATTACAGCAGTTGTTGGAGGAAAAAG